AACATATTTTTCGGAGCCCGGTATATTAATAGGGCGAAGTGGAGCCCACCTGTTATCGACGTTGTGGAAGTGTATACGTTAGTTGCTCTAATTTTTTATATCATTTAGACAAATAGGAACATCAGAGGGGAAACATTTTCAATGTAGAATAGAAAATATATATCATTGGTATCATCTGAATCCCAGACTACTCAGACAGTACGATGTGAAGCCCACGCGCAAAAAAAAACATACAAATCAGTCGTAGTGAAGCCCTACGCTGTTGCCACTATTTGGCAGTGAATATTTGCCGTCATATCTGAAAGGGCATCATTTAATCCCTTGTCCCTTGAGTGTTTAGTGAAAGAATGAACGGGCGATCGAAGAGAATTTTAGAGTTAGCATCTCAGGCTTATTCACTGAGAAATCGGAAAACGGTAAGTAGAAAGTTTCTTTTCTATTCACATTCTTATTTTTTTTTGTTGAACTATTGATCGTTTTTTTCGTCTTCCAAAACGGTTGAATGTTATTTACTACTGGTTTACCATGATATTGCAGAAGAGGTCAGCCTAACAGAATGGACTCTGTATGCCTGGTTTATCGAACTTCGCATTTCAAAAAATGAATTTAGTCGAAGGCAATATATTTGTGTTTCATGTGCATATGGGATCATATGAAATTCAAACTGCTGGCTAATAAAATACACTGTTTTTCGTATAACAGTCGATTTTGTTTTCACAATGAATGAAATAATTTGTTACCATTATTTAACAAAATGTTTTCTTTTCTCGAACGCTATTAGTTTTTCACTTTGAATCCCTAAACTAGCTAAATTCCAATATAATATTTTCAGGTTGAATTGGTATTTTACTCTGATGGAATCATTTAAAAAAATATATATATAAGAAGTTCGACATATTGAAATTTCGAATTCATCAAATAAGTAGAATAAATTTTATTACAATTTCTACATCATTCGAATCGATAGTTCTTTTTTGCCACTGAGGCAGACTCGAAGGTATTTTCTTTTTCTCCAGGTTAAATATGTCGAAGAAGAAAGCGAATTATCTCTGAATAAATTCGAAGCTTCTGCGAGTTCTGAAGATGATGTTACCTTCACTCCTCAAGGATTACTGGAGAGTTCGGATTCCACCTACGACTCAATCAATGAAGCGGGATATGTAGAAATAACTCCTGAAAAACTTTTAAAGACTAAAAATACATCTCTCTCAACTGTTTCTGAAACTGGAAGTGTTTCGAACATAATACCACGCAGCATATATTCAGAGTATTGCATTCACGAATCGGGAGGTGGTGTTTTGGTTTCGGAAAAGGTACGAGTAGTTTAAGAGTTTTTATTCAGAGATAAATCAATTTCAAAATGTTTTTGATTTTTTTTTTTATTTTTCACCTCATGAGATAATTGACGACATTTCAGGTGGCCGAGGCTCTGTGTGAAACACAAGGGTCTTCTGACCGAATGAGCGGTTCTCCTAAAGAACTGACGATGTTACGCAATGTTGAATGGGTGAGTTCACCTTGCAAATTATAATTATAATAATTTCGACTATTCAACTATACAATGAGTTTACACATTTAATTATACAGTGCATTCCATTTGAAACGAGTCACCCTGAATAACTTTTGGTACAATAATTTACAGGAGAAATAAAAATCACGACAATTATAGTATACAGGAGGACACATTTTGACATAATCACATTTGATGTTACTTTCTCTATCGCACCCCCAGAGCATTTCACCAATTTTTTTAAATGGATCAACTGTTTTGCATTATCAGATGTTCCATAATGAACATATTTCAACAGAGTCGAATAATACAGTGTGGTGTGAAGGTCATAGTTTGGGAGCTGAAATTATTTGAGTTGAAAACGAGCCACCTTGAATGAACTTCTGTACAATCTGTTACCTAAGTTTCGAAGGTGTTTTTGTGATGTATACTTCAAAAAAGTCTTATTTTGCCTAGTTTAGTTTGAATTCATTTTGTATTTGTCTCATTCTACAATAACGATTACCTAGCAGGTGGAAGTTATGATTGGTGTTTCTGTTTTTGTGAATTGCTGAGAAGCAATGGTTCATACGCCTTGAGAACGCATTGATATAGTGAGTTTGTACTACCAGAATGGAAGTAGTACTAGAGTAGCTGCCCGTATGTTCAATGATAATCATCCAGGAAGAAATGTACGACACAAATACGTTTCGAAATTATTCAACAAATAATAAAAAGCATAACCGTTCATGAGTTGTCAACGTCATCACTATACTGCAGTGTTAGGACACGTTGGACTAATGGAAAATTCGCAATCTCTTACTAAATATTTCTGGAGTTTTATCCCAACACCAAATCGTTATTTTCAACACCTCGACACGTGTTTCGATCACCAAGTGATCATCTTCAAAGAGGAAAATTAAAACTAGGAACTAGTGCGAGCTAATCCTATTTATGCTATAAAGGTAACCCATACAGGAAAACCATCCAGGCATACCAACCATACAGGTATACCAACCTTAATTTTTACAATTTTGCCTCATCTATTATTTTACAATATATGTTTATATAGCTATATAATAGATGAAATAATAGATAAGGCAAAATTGTAAAATCAATTAAGGTTGGTATACCTGTGTGGTTGGTACGCCTGAATGGTTTACCTGTATGGGTTACCTTTATAGCATAAATTGAATTAGATCGCACTAGTTCCTAGTTTTAATCTTCCTCTTTGAAGATGATCACTTGATAACCAAAACACATGTCGAGGTGTTACAAAAATAACGATTTGGTGTTGGGAAAAACTCCAGTAATATTCATTACTACACCAAAAGTTCCAAACAGTGCTTCATAAAATCTCTTACTAAGTTATCTCAGGAATCAGAAATCAGTCGTACGAATGTTTTCAGGATCCTCCATAAGTATAAATTTCATCCATATAAGATTGAACTAGTTGGACTAGACGAAGATGATTTCGATAGTCGAATCGAGATTTTTTGAGAACGGATCAACTTGCATCAGAATTTCTTGTATAAAATTTGTTTTCCGGATGAATGTACGTTCAGTTTGGATGGAGATGTGAATTGGAAAATTTGTCTATATTGGAGTCATTTGAAGTCTGAAGTGTATGGAGATAGAATCAACAACATAGGAGATTTGCATTTGCATTGCATAGAAATAACTCCCGAGTTTCTCAACCACGTGAGGGTGGCAATGGAAGCTTGTTTGTATGATTGTATGGAAGTTGGTGGAAACGTTATTGAACATTTACTATAGAAAATGTCTTCCTTCTCATTGTCTAGTCATCAGATTTTGATTCAGGAATCAATAAAAAATCTCTTTTTCTGATTTATTGCTTCCATATTTTTCTCTAGATCCAATATTTTAAAATATGGCCTCCTGTACAATTGTTGACCCTAGTTTTCTATTATTTCTGCAAATCATTGTTTCAAAAGTTATTCAGGATGGCTCATTTTCAACTCAAATAATTTGTAGCTTCAGACCATTTAATACTTCGTTGAAATCTGCTCATCATGGAGCATCTGATACTGCGAAACAATATAGGGTGATACATATATAAAAAATTGGTGACATGGTTTAGGGGTACGATAGGGGAAGTAACATGTGAATGTGTCAAAATGTGTATATATATTGTTGACGTGTTTTTTATTTTTCCTGAAAATCATTGTACCAAAAGTTATTCAGGATGATTCGTTTTAAATTGAATGCACTGTATTTTAGAGAAAATGAGAAGAAATCTGAAACCTGTTATTTTTGAAAATCGTGTACTTACGCTGAAATGAGCCGGTGAATGAAAGAAACCTTCCTCACTTCCTTTCGCTCTCTATATTTACATAGTGTTTATGATTATTATATCATTACTAGTACCATGTTGCTGTATCGCGTTATGAAACAGTGCTTTCAAAAGCACCAAACAAGTCGACGTCTTCAGGAGACGCCAATTAACTTGGTGGAGAAGAAGAGTATTTATTGCATTTCTGGTATATGGATATCCTCATATCAGTAAAAGTTCACTAATGAGAGTAGACTTCGTTTTTATTTTTGACTGGCCCTCTATCACTGAAACTGTCAAAAAATTATTTTGAATCGGCAATACCCAAGAGTACAGATGGAAATGAAATGACAAAATCATGAATTCATTCGCCGTTATCAAGCTGTTAGGCATCCTGACGTGGAAGATATTTGTTAAGCTCCAATTCACCGAAATCATCACCTTCCCTCTGGAGGTAAAGAATATTTTAATGAAATATCCACTATTCGTTGGATAAGGGTTATCCGATGTCGAGATTTTTCTTTTCGCGACGTCACATGTGTAGAATGAAAATAGGTTGATGTGAGAAATTTTTACTTCAACATCTTGAATAATTCAGAGAGTGAATCCGAACAGCAGGTGGATATGAAGGATATGAGAATAGATATAGTGAGACGTATTTCGTATTCAGATGTACATGTTTGTACGGCGGTGTTGAATGACCTTTTTGTAATTCAAATATTTTCCATTTCCTTCCATTATTTCAGAGTGAATCCGAAACGGATTATTATTCTTGCTCAACGGGGTGAGTAAGCATCAAACTGAATGAAACTTTGGTATTTACGAACCCGGGATAACAAAACAGACAAATAACCGCGAACGCTTTATAGCAACCTTCTAGTATCTGATGGAACTGGTCGATACTTGTTGAATATCCAAAACGAATTCAAGTACCACTTCACTCAATCTAGATTCAGGAAGGGATACAACTGCACAACTGCTCTTCTACATGTCGTAGATGATGTATTTAGGGCTAAAGATCGAGGTTCATGCACGGCACTGATATTGCCCGACTTTAGTAGGGCTTTTGATACCATAAACCACGACTTATTACTAGTTATTCTCCATCACTTAGGGTTTTCAGATGGAGCGATATCACTATTGCGTGAATATCTCAGTGAAAGGCAACAGAAAGTCAACATCAATAGCAACTGCTCTCAATACCTCACTTTGAAATCTGGAGTTCCCCAGAGATCCACACCGGGCCCTTCACTGTTTAGAATGTAAACTGTACGGCTATTGATTTTATCGTCTTTCATTTGTTGTGTAATATCAGTTTGTTGTTTTTCCTGGGTTTTTAAACTTCTATAATCTGAAAATAAACAAAGCTAAATCACCACAGTCTGTTGGAAGTGTTGATTTGAATAATCAAAATGAATTGATATTCTCAGCTGACTTCAATGTTATCCACGGTTTGATAATTTTTTCCGTTCTCAAATTCGAGAAAATAACAAATATTAAATCAATAAAATGTCTAAATATCATATTTGATAGTCTACGTCTACGAGATTGCACAGACAACATGTTGGCGAAGAATTCTGTTTAGGTTCATATTTCCATCTTACCTTAGCAACGGTAAGTAGGTACGGGAGTGGTTGAAATAGTTATCATCTGCCGAAAGGATTCTCATTTTTTCGTGAGGTTCTTTAATGATGAGTTTTGTTCACTCAAGTTCACTCAAGTCTTGAAGTTTCATCTAAACATATTTTCCACGGGAATAAGGTGTACTGTTTCATGTTTTCATTTATATTTTCTGGTTTTGTTCGTATAAGAAGACACGAACAAAACCTGAAAAGTCGGATGGAAACAGTATATTGGTAGCTTCAGAAGTTATTCTTACATTATCGTTTGTAAACAAGATAAATGATTAGTTTTTGAGGAAAAATTCGAAAGTTGAAATTTGTCAGCAATTCATGTACATTTTATAATTTGTTTTGAAATGCCAATTTTTACTTAATCCATCACGATAATCTTGATGGAAAGTGATATTTTTCAAACATCGAAATATATCTATTCATGAGATACAATGTCAAAGATAGGTACTATGTAATTAATTTCTCTATGCCAGTGAAAAAGTAAAAGTTTCGAAGATACTCTATGTCTTTGTGAGTTGATAATTACTTGAAAAATAACATACAATTCATTTTATTTGAACTTTTACAACATTCTAAAAAATAAAAAAATTGAATCTTTACGGTTGGTATTTTTTATTTTATACAATAACCGATGTATAAAATGAGATAGTATATGGAGCTTTGAAACTTACAATTGTCCATTAGCACAGAAAAATAGACTGCACTTTATCTTTGAAAGTACAAGAATTATAATGAATAAAATGTACATGAATTTGTGAAAAACTTTTTTGTTGCTCACTACGTCAAGTTTCTTGACCAAAATTTCGTAGATGACGTCATATTGCCGCCATACGGAATTTGTAAAAAATAAAGGGTTCTGTTCAGAATTCTTGACTTGATTCCATTTTCGGTTAAACCGGAATTGAATTCTCGATGGCTTTATCAAACACATTTTGGCTTCAATGAAACATCTGATTGGAGCTGTGTAAAATGTTTTCGTTGTCACTCGTTATTCTTTCTACAGAAAAACAAGTATAATCCATCATACTCTATGAAAATGTATCATGCATGATTACCATTGCTAAGGCGAGAAGTTAAAGATGGAAATNATCAATGAATCTCGGGGTATATATTAAATTTCATGCTCCGATTGCGA